CAGAGAATGCAAGATAATTATAAACAAAAACTGTGTCATTCCCCGCTAGGGAAGCAGCTGCTGGGGTGACAGGCGAAGCTGAACATGAATATGGATCACAGGACTTAAGATCTAACGGATGCAACCGCAGTTTTGTTCAAGATGTTTCAAAAGAGAAGGACGTTGGCAACGCAGATTCAATACATGATGGGAGTCAAATGAAACTGAATTTCATACAGTTGTTACGCTGGCAACGGCTTTTATTATCCTCATCGAGCAGTCCAAACCAAAGACTCGTAAAGAAAAGAGTGCTCATATTTAGTGCTACTAAAATCCACACAAATAATAAATGATGCCAATAAAATATTAGATTTCAACCTGCTTTTTAAGGGATGTGACAGAAACAGAGAAATGTCACCACTTAGATTTCATCGGCTCGCTGTAGATTATTGTTTTTAATTGCTATTATAGTGTTTTTTTAAAGATAAGTATCTCTGCATCTTTTTGCTGCATTATGACAAATGGAAAACTTTACTTTGTAATAATTTATTGTTATCAGAGATTATAAATGAGGATATAATTCACACAACCATTGAGATAGCAAAACATTTTTGCCTGTCTGATATGTTGTCTTTATTTTCCAAAACTATAAAGCTAAGACATTCCTTCACAATAAAAGCCTCTGTTCAGAGCACCATAATGTTTGTTCCTTCACAATAAAAGCCTCTCTTAAAAGCACTGTAATGTTTGAAGCTCATTAAAATGACATACAGTTTCTGCTCCTCTCGTAAAGATAAATTATATGCCGGGTGCATCGGGTTTTCATTCTGCAGATGATAATCAACTCATTAAATATTTGTTTATTAAATACTATCACTAAAAGCAGAAAGGGGCTGAATATATGACTAAATGTAATTATTATTACAAAATAATTGTAAAATTTGTGAATAAAAAATAAAGAGGAGGAGAATAAAGGAGCAGTATGTAAGAATGTTACAATGAAACAATCACAAAACAGTCTAATGTCTCCATCATGTTGGAAGGAATGTTACACTGAAGCAGATTTCATTCTCAGTCGGTTGGGGGTTGTCAGTTTCTCTCCTTTCTAAAAAACTAAAGAGGGGCGTAGTATTTGTTGAATTTGTGAGGTTGCAGAGTCAGCGCTGAACTAACGCTGCAGAGTCAGCATATGTAATTCAACACCGGCAGATAAAAACCTCCAGAGTTGTTCAAAGAACCAAAGCCAGTAAACAGAAGCACCCCAGAAGTTATTTCTTGTACCCCTAAAAAGCCACAGAATCTTTTTATTTTACTCTAATATTGGGTGAAGCAGGCCAGAGGCCATTGTTGTGCTAACATTAGAAGCAAATTGTTGGGCATAAAAATATCTCAAGCTACCTTTTCAAACACCGACAACTCAATATTACAATTACATTAATGTGTGAAGTGAATAATGAGTCAATTGTGGCGTTTTACTTCCTTTCATGAGTCACTCAGAACTTTAATGAGAAACTAACAGAAAGACAGCAAACAACACTTCCTCTAATGCAGGAGGCATACTATGGCTTGTATTTGCCTTTTTATGGTTCTAAAAACCCCCAAAGTGCTTCACAACACAATCAGTCATCCACTCATTCACGCACACATTCACACTACTACTGTAATAAGTGTAGTAAATGCTCCCTACCATAAAATGCCCAAGAGTCCTGACTCCAGATATGACAGTGTATTTATCCAGTGACTTTTTGTACAGAAAAATGGACTGCAGTACCTACATCTGACCACAGGATGTCATTCATACTTGATTCTTACACATTCCGACTTTAATAATGAAAATAATACATTTAAACTGCTGGGAAACCCAGTAATGTTGCCAACACTGTGGTATAATTTTGTAAGAATTATTTTTTTGCATTTTCAACACTATAATCAATTTCAGATGAAAATCATAATGCTCATTCTATTTTATCCCTACGTCCTTTTACATAATACAGTAAATTAGACTTGCTTGTATATATTTTGTAAAATAACCTATTTTTGATGTCTGAGCCCTGTGCTCTTTAGAACCCCTTGAGGTAACTTGACACAGTTTTATAAGTTAGCCCAGAGAAGATGGATGACTATTACAGTTCACAGATTTGACTGAATGCAAAAGGTCAGAATTAGAAATGAAGGGAAAAAATAAATCACATTAAATCCGCTTTTAGCTTCTTAACACTTCACAGCAGCACATTGTTACTGCTTACGTGCCGTAAGTGCTGGTATTCATCCTAATAAAGGTGGATTTAATGTAGCTGTACTTTATTTTACTATGTTTTTTTCTTTTACTAAGCCTGTAAATAGAAGGATAACTGTACTCAGCAGCTGTGTCTGTCTCTAAATGTGTAAACATTCATTTGTATGTTTGTGCCTGTAAGTAAGACACCCTTGAGACTCTATTCACCTGCCAGAGTGATGTAAATTACTTAGTTCTGCTGTTTTGAAACAAATCACAATCAAGTCTCCAAGCAGCAATTCCAGCAGAAATAAAAGTCTGCTTGTGAAGAACATTAAAAATCTGGCTGGCTTAGGAAGGGGAAAAAAAGGGAGAAAGAAGCAGAAATCCCTTCGGCTATGAAAATAAACCTTTAGCTTAAATGTGACTCACAGAGGAATGGCATCATTGAGCCAAGCGAATGAGCAACAGCAGCCACAGGATGTTAGCGTTACTATTCATAACTTATTTTCCTATGCCTAAAACCGTTTTCCCTTCTGGTCTCACCTCTGCTGCTCTCTTAAAATGCAATTACCTCCTGGCAAATTTACAGGAAAAGAAAAACAATGACTTCTGACCAGAGGAGCCATTACAGTGAATGTCACACTGCAACAGCATGCTGAGATGCCAAGCAGAGAAAATATACAGAGAGATGAATCACATTATTTCTTTTTTTCTTTTGTTGTTTTTAGCTGGAGCTTCATGAAATGTGTGGATTGGTGAGCGACTGATAAACATGTTCCAGCACTTCACAACTCCTCACTGGAGCCACAGAATGTTTTTTAGAGGTGTGACTGATGACTATATCAGTGCTGTTCATAAAAGCCTCTTCTGGAAACAAAATTAAAACAAATTATAAAAAAACAGAACAACACTGGGCTGAATATTTTTAAGTCCTAATTATCATAAAACAAAAAGATCAAAAGCTTGTTGGGAATAAATTAATTAGGCAAATAGGATAAACAGAATTTATGAATTTAAATGCATGATCACCACTCAAATATAAACAGCAGCTCTGTAGCCCAAGCTTCTAACAAGAAATAATCCACTTTTCAAATGAATATTTCTATTGCAGTCAAAATGAACCAATTTATCCACATTTCCATAAACCAGGCATCCACATATGTGGACATTGGCTTCTGGCCCAGTAATATTTAATTCTATTCACCACGGACATGTTATTATTTCTCATGGTACCAATGTTTTTAATAATTAAAAAAATGTATTTAATTTAGTATATTTCTTTTACATTTCTATTCATTAATGAAGAGTTAGATGGTATTTGCTAGGGATGGACAACATATCGGCATCAATATCGGTATCAGCCGATGTTAGTCATTTTTTTAAACGTACAGGTCCGAAAAATAAAACCGGGCTGATAATAACAACCGATATTTTGTCTATCTCATCTCCATTTGATTGCCTGTTTCAGAGGGTGACGGGGGTGATGTGTAATTGTCTAGTCATGTGAACATTGAATGAAATCATCTCAGAACTGTAAATGTGTGTGTTGTGTGTACATAATAACGTAAATTCAGCTTTAATAATTTTTATTCTATACAAAATCTGCTGATTTTAGAAGCATTAATGTCAGTGTATCAGTTATCGGCCATAACAGTGATCTCAATATCGGTATCGGCCCAAAATTTTCATATCGGTGCATCACGAGTTTTTGCTGATAATAATGTTAATTTTTTATGTTTCAGACATCATAAAAATCCAGATCAGCTAGGTAAAATTAAAACCACACTAAGTAAGATGTTACATAACTTTTTATGTCAAATTTAATATAAATAAATTTAATAAAAATGAAGTAGAAATTGAATTTTTTGTCTATGAATTTGGCCTACATGTTAATGAAATTGTTAAATGTTCTTACTACTTTCTTGCAGTCATGCAATTTTTATTAATTAATCAGTTGATAGACAAAGAAAACTACTTTGCAGCTATTTGTTAAGGTTATTTATCGTGTAAAACATTCCTGGTTATGAATGACTGTCTATTCATATTAAGGTTTCCACTTCTTCCACAGCTGATTGGCTGGCAAGATGTAGCAGTTTATCTTAACTCTACATTTTGTGTATTTTATGAGTTACATAATTGGGGGCTCATCCGGGATTTGAATCCTGGACCTCTCACACCAAAGAGAGAATCACAAAAGTCTTGAGTAGATGATTATTAAGTTTCCGACCCAATACATCAAATTGCAATAGCAGCATTACTTAAAAAACACAAGAGGCCCAAATCATGACACAACCAAATGTTTCTATGCTGATGATAAGAAATAGTTTCCTCTAGCATCTCTTAAAAATGACAAATGAAAACAAACAAGTCCACAAGTGTATTTGTTCTTTTCAAATATGTCTTTTTTAACCACTGTTGGCAAGTGACTCAATAATAAACAGCTTTTCCTTTTCTCAAAGCAACTATGTTGATAGAAAACCTCCCATCACAACAAAATAAGACAGAAACTACAGTTTTAGAGGTCTTAGAGGTAAATTAGAGATTTAAATACCTTCAAGTACTTTAAACAAAATTCCCACCAATCTCCAGTTAAAACTGTCTTGAACAAGTATTCAGTATAACCATAAATCAAAGTTTAAGGTGAACCATAAGAATGAGACTTGTAATGTTCACAGATCAGGAAATAAACTATTCCGATGATTCAAAAGGTAAAACCACAACCCTTCAAATACCATTAACAACCTCTGCAGGAGCTGTTGGCAAAACAGATGAGGTAATGCATCTCTGCAGCCGCCGAACTCACCAAACTCGTCACAGATGCTCTCATTCTTCAGCAGGGTAGGATGCTCAAAGGTGTCACGGCAGTATAGGATCTTCGTGCTCCCACCCAGCGCAGCAATGCCTCCCAGTGCCAGCACTGTGTGGTCTATGAGCAGAGAGGACGGCTGCTCCCGGAGCCGAGCCAGAACGGAGCGGTAGCGGCAGTATTGGGGGTAGCTGAGCACCAGGACCTTCCTTCCATCCTCCTCCTGGCCTGAAGACAACAAAACACAAACCATCAGAACGCTCCATAGAGGCTGATTCGATTTATTGAACTGGGAAGGCGCTGCTGGGAGATGGGAAACAAGTTTTCCAAGTGCTCCTGTAAGATTTGTAGTGAGGAGCATTTAACTTTACAGGACACATTTATTCCACCATCTCTCTTCAGGTTTTATGACTTCAGTTCCTCTTATAGATCATTATTTGGCTGATGTTACTTTACAGAACATCTATTACAGCCGTATCAGCTCCTATAAATGTAGCAAATTTGGACGTTCAGTCTGAAATGTGACAGATTGATGAGAAATCTAAGAAAACTAAATGCTGAACTGAAACTTTCCAATAATTCCTGGACCCCCCCTTACATATTTCCCATTTGATTTCTCCCATACAGATCCTATATTCATCTCTTCTACCGTCCTATATTTTCATGCAGCTATTTGAAGGAAATGTGTCACGTAAAGGAAGTTAGACGCTCCTGTGCTGCTGTTATATTACAACTTTAAATAGATGCCACAAAGGTTTCACATCCTAGTACTAATTACACATTACACCCAACTGATAGGACAGCTTTTTTATATGCGTTGTAAAAATGCATTATGTTATTAGGCTGCATGTTTGAAATGCATCACATGCGCGGCTCTCAGTGTGACAAGAGGAATGTGTAAACAGCCGCCTGCTGATTTGCTTGACTGGTTTGGTAGAAACCTAATTGATGGTGGGAAGTGTTCTGAGAATGATTAGGTGTGTGCACACTGACCACCCACACAAAAAACTTTAATATCTTGTTTTTCATAAATGTTTTGTTCAAGTTTTAAGATCTACATGCATTAAAGTGAGGATAGGGTTAGGGTTTCTACATTCATGACTTGATTGTTCCTTTCATTGTGAAAACTAATTTTCATGTGCAGCATCTTACTGCCAAGAACATTTCTTTGAGAACCGGAGCACAGGAAGAACACACCAAGACCAACATGACAAACCCAAATAACACCACAAAGCAGAAAAATGACTTAGACATAGCTAAAATGTTCTGAAAAGTTCAAAGATTGCTAAAACTAAAGAAGAGCCAAGGCTGATGGGAGTGTTATTTAATTTTCCAGGTATGTGGTCATAAAACTGAGCACAAAAACGTGAAGAAATCACAACAATTTTCAAAATTCTTCCCAAGGGAGGCATAATTGTGTGTAAAACTGCTAGCAGTTCATCAAATGCTTGTTTAGGCATGTCATTCCAGGCTAAAATGGTGGTCTGCCTCATAAAAATACCATGAAGTTGAAAACTCACAACTCAGATTTTATTACAGGAGGGTAAAATAAACAAGATAAAACCCTACAAACAGAATGCAGCGCGATGAAGAAATACAAGCATTGAAATACTATAAAATCCCCACAATTCAACATAAATATACACAGACGTCTCCAGTAATCTTATTTTACTGTTTGTGACCTTTTCCCTACATATTAAACATTCTTTGTTACGTTGATGTCAGATATCAAGACTTTAAGGTTATAGGCAGTGGCGGATTTAGCTATTTGGGGGCCCAAGGCGAACACAGACATGGGGCCCCCTTTCACTAATTTTTTGACAATTTTACCTTTAACTGGATTTGCAAAACTCTATCCTCTTCTGCCATGAGTTATTTTCCTTTTTATTAGTCCTCCTCCTATTTCCTGTCTTTCCCTCTATTTGAGTGCTTTCAATATTTGCTCTGCTTTCTTCTTCCTGTCAGTGCTCCTGTGCTTTTGCCTTTGTTATTGTTTTTGTTATTTTTTATATTTTCCATTTTGGTTTATGTTTTATTTCCTTTAAACATTTTCCATTGTTTTTCCTTTCTGCTTCCTTTTGATGTTTACATTGAAAAATAACGTTACTTTCGGAAGTGAAGAAAAAATCTTTTTTGAAGCAAGCTGCTTCTTTCTCTTATTGGAACCACTAGGACAACTCCATAATGTTTTGATTAGTGCTTCGAGTTTGTTACAAATGCTCCCGCCTCTCTTCTTCTTCTTATTTTTATTTGTGGTCTTATGGCACTTGGCAAACAATAATTTGGTGCATTACTGCCACCAACTGGATTGGAGTGGAATGACTTCAAATCACTTCCTGTTTGTGCATAGAGTCTTAAAGGAATGGTCCATTGTGGCATTAACAGAGGGGTGCTGGTGGTCAGGGCTAGGGGGCCCCCCAACATAAGGGGGCCCCAGGCGGCCACCGAGCTATGCCTGATGGTAAAACCGCCACTGGTTATAGGTTACTGGAGATCTGAATTATTGCTTTGATTAACAGAGCAAAACCTAAATTATCTGTACCTTTAGCCTAGAGGAGAAGACATTCTGACTTTTAAAGGTGCGGTTTACTCGTTTATTCAATAAATTTGCAGTGTTCTTTAGTGTAAATCAATTCCTAATGAGTCATTAAAAAAAGAAAAGCTATGATGTTCTGGGATGCAGATGCTTGCTGGTGCAGAGGTGGGCTAAAAACAGCAGGATTGCTCATTATTCTTAATGATGTGCATATACCTCGCTTCTGATTGGCTAACAGAACGCATTCAGCCATGTTGCAAAGTCACCATCACCAACACACTTTCTGCTCTCTCTCCTCGCTGCAAAATTTAAAAAATCCTTCCTGTGGGCGGGCACAAGCCAAGAAGAATAAGGCCATGAATGCAAATTGACAGTGTGACATCATAGTGTGAGGATTTCCAGATCCTAGCATTTCACCTCTATTTTCTATCAGAAACTAATGCAGGAGAAAGATGTAAGACTTTTTTTATGTTCAACCTGCAGGAAAAACTCAGAGTGACCGATTATTAGGGATGAGCCGGATACTTGATTCGGACGAGTATCCGGTACGGATAAAGCATTTTTGACGAATACGAGCATGATACGAGTAAACCTCGTAAATATCTGTAATCATGCTGAAGGAAAATCCTCATTGGGTAACTGACTGTCTTCACGCTCTGTGATTGGCCAGTCACATATAGCGCCCGCCCCTCCCTACACACAAAACTCTGCAGCCGTCCGGGAGTGCAGTCCGTCCGGCTCATCCACGCACACACACAGTAACGGATCTCGCTGTGATTGCTTCACTGTTGCTCACGTTTCTTCATTTTTCCCTAGGTTTACTTCAGCTCGCCTCTTTTTCAGTTGAATATTTAAAGTTACTTTTTCGTAACTTACATGGTGCATTTGACAAGACAGAGCTGACATGCTGCATCAGTCACTACCTCCGCTCCGGTCGGGTTTTTTATTTTTTTTAACTCCATCTCTCTCCCTCTCTCCCTCTCTCCCTCTCTACCTCTCTCAGACACACACACCTTAATCAACATTGTTTTGTTTAACTTTGTGTGGGAAAATGCCAAGAACGTTAAGAAAAAAGTCAGTTTAATCAAATTAAAATAAAAAAATATACATAAAGTTGTGTCTGGTTCTAGCATTTCATATTTCCTAGTTCCTACTGCATGAGTTCAGATGTATTAATCCATGCACTTAAATATTAATGTTCTGATTTTATTGAAAGACTTGTTCTGTAATAGTTCCTTTACTATTGTGATCAAAAATATTTAATCTCAATTCTGAGGCTGCTCTGTAAATAGTTTTCAAATAAACAATACACATAGCAACTTCAGATCAATCCATATCAATTTCAGACTTAAAATAATATATTGATGTAAACCACACCCAATTCTGGTTAAACCACACCCACTTCCAGGTTATGCCACGCCCATTCCGAGTACAGATACAGATAATTTAGTTGGTTGAACAGATACAGATACAGATACAGATAGTGGTGTCCTCGCTCATCCCTACCGATTATGATCAGAAAGAATCAATAAAAAATGTTTTTTTTTTCAGTCAACCACACATGTAAGATATAAAACACAATAAATATTTAAATTCACCTAAAACAATAATCAGTTAGCAAACATAAAATAGATTAAAATGTACGTGTAAATATGAAACAGCTAATATAATGTGAAATATTTTCTTGTCGAGTGTGCTATTAGCTGTAAGGGAGACCAGCAATTATCCCATACTAAATCTTTGCATCTTTTCTATTATTCATGCACATTTGTTCATTTAGACTAATCGTAAACAGACTTCTCAGCCTTGCATGTTTCAAATTCTGCACTGTGGTGATATTTATGCAGGTAAATGACACATCACACCAATGAGCATGACCGCAGGATGATTTGAAACGAGTAGGTCACAACATCGACAGCAAGCTTCTTTCTATAGTTCCAGTCACATTCATATTTTGAATACTTGTTTGAATTCTTGTTCATTCTGAAAGTCATAATATTTTGTTAGCATGCAAAGCCAACTACACGGTTCAACAGTTGATGAAGCAGAGTCAGGCAGGTTGAACCACAATTTTACATGAATTATTCATCACCCTGTCTGCTTTTACAAAGCTTCTGGACATGACTTTCATAACTATCTCTCCTGGTAAGTTAATATTTCAGGGATGGCTAACCAGCAAGTTTGTGCTTTGCTTTACTTAAAACACATATTTAAAAATAGCCTATTTTTCTTTATCTTTTGGTGTTTTTTCTTTATTTTTTACAACACTGGAGGCTCTTAAAATCACTGAAATATGTAGCAGGAACAGGACTATTCATAGAATATTTACAGCAGCTGCATTCCCAACAATTAGTGTAATTAGTTCCACTGTGCTCCAATATGAAGACCACTTCAAACGAATGATTAAAACTGTTCAACCAGCACACACACACACACACACACACACACACACACACACACACACACACACACACACACACACACACACACACACACACGCGCAAGCACAGAAATATGCAGGATCCTTAAAGGTGCTACAAAGCCCACAGACGCATCAACACACACATTCCTCCATATAAGCATCTCACACTGCAGAGACACATTTATCCAAGATTGCGGCATTTGTCATAAGCAATTACAGCTCAGAGGTATAGAGCAGGCTTTGTTTCCAAATGTCACAGATTTTATTGTG